CTCGTCTCAGCAGGCATCGCGGCTACACGGCGTTCTCCACCAAATGGATTTTCCTGGCCTTTGCCAGAGCTGGCAACTTGCAGACACAGGGCGTGGCCTAGGCTTTGAAGCCAAGGAGCAGAGTTCACGAAATTTTGTTTTCTTGGCTTAGAAGTGCGCTCCAGAGCCAAAATCGTGTCACGGCGCATTAAAAAAAAAGTTGTAATGCTGCGAGGTTCCAGAAATATAACTTTGCAAAAGCCTGATGAACTACATGACATGAGTACTTTAAAAACTTTGCGTTTACAAATTGTTTAACATTTTCTAGATATAAAACCTCCGTACTATTATGCTTTATTTGTAATCAACAGAATCAGTTTGATCTAATACGTAGTGCCCAGTTTGCACCGTGCACTCAACTGACGTGCAAACGTTATTTGCAAGTGATGGTAGTAACAGAACGATGATTCGAAGTTCGGAACTACGAAATGTTAAAAAATAAAATAAAATATACGGAGTGTGGGCTGGGCGTCTGCCAGTGTATGCAGTGTAAGTGCAGCGTAAGCAAGGACGTAGCAGAAGTGAATAAAGTAAATAAATTAAAATTTTAAGATTAGAATTAGATACAATAGAATACGATAGAGTATATTAGTGTTATTAATTAGCTGTAAGTACATTTTTGAGTGTATATATATTATATGTGTGTTATATGTGTAGGTGTGTGTGTGTATATACGCGTATACGCACAATGTACGTGTATGTATATGCATATGCGTATATGTATATGTGTATATGTTATACATGAGTGTATATATAATATGTGTGTATAAGTATGTATGTATGTGTTGTGTGCGATTCCTGTAGAGTATATACTATATGTGCGTTGGTGCGTGCGTGTTGGGGTGTGTGCAGAGAGTCTGAGTTTCACATTGTGTACCGTGAAATGGAGCTTTTTGCTATCTGGGTATACAGTGTTCTAGTTAATACATTATATTAATTTACATTTGGTATAATGAAATTAATTTGGCTACCACCTTGCAAAGACGCCCAATTGTGGCCAAAATAAAATATATTATTTATTATTATATTACGAAAAGTTCTTTGATTGCCGAACATTGACAAGGGCCATTCCCAATCTTATCTTAGTCATTCGAATTGGTATCTAATGCTATTAAGTGAATTATTGCAAGGAAAAGTGAAGGACTTTCAATGACGCCAAATTTTGCGATGGATAATCAAGAAGCAGATTGTTTGTATAACATTGAAGTTGAGCAGATATGTACTAAATTATTCGAAAACTACTTAGACGTAAGCATGTTAAAATCCCTTGCAATGATTAGATTCGCTAAAAAACCACCCTGAATTCTAACAAACTGCGAGAATAAAACAATCGAAATATAAAAAATTGTTAAGATGTGATTAATTAATTGATATTTCATTATTTTCCCTGATGTAAGATGCTAGGTTCTAATATATCGAAGTATAAATCAATTTTATTACAGAACAACTTGCCGTCTTACTGTCAACAAATCGGGTACGATTATTTTTTCTGTCTGCGTGGCAAACGAAATCAAAACAACATTTTAAAGATAAACTAAAATGAAATCACAAATTGCCATAATTTCTTCTACGCGACGACGACATTAATTAGAGCACATTGGAGCAACTCCAACCATAACACTTCACTGAACATTGCTTCGGCAAAAATTTTGGCTTGGCCACTTACAGTTGCCAAAGGAATGCAGGCCAGATTACACAATTTTTATCTATCAAAACATAAGGCAAGGAGGCCCAAAAAAAGAGGAACATGGATCTGAAAAATAAACTCAAAACAATTCATGTCATGCAAGATTTTAAAAGTCCGATATCCCACGAATCACCTCCTGACGTTTAATTTCCAATCTTATGAATCCTTGGATTTATTTGTTCTTATTGTAAACCCAATGCAATCCCCACGGTAAACTTCCAAGCCGTTACTACCTTGCCTAAACGTCATAGCCCGAACTGCAATCCCGATTCCGTTTCCGTCCTTAAGCCTGTGTTCCACGGTAATTTTTTCATCTTTTTTTGCATGTTTTCAGTACAGAAAATGAACGGAAAAAGGGACGTTCGATTTGTACACCGTTTTTCGGTGCCGAAACTGCTGATGAAAGTGATTCCAGGGTTTTACACTAATTATCTTTTCTTTGTACGCCAATTCGTGATGAAAATACTTCGTCCGGACGCCGCAAAAGACAACTGAAGTTCAAACATTGAAGCATCGCATCTATGGTAACAAATGAATTAGGTTATATTAGGACAGAGCACGAAAGGCGATGACATTAGAACACAGTACATAATTTATTCTTACTTACATATTCACTTTTACATTAGATTCAAAACACCCAGAAACGCTTCGAACAACAAAAAAACAAATTCGCACCACATGAATAACAAACCACAGGAAGTTTCCTTAATAGTTGACGCCAGGAGCGCGATAGTCAAAACTATGTGTACCGAAAAAGAAGCATGTGTAATTTTTTCGTACAAATTATCATCCAGTCTGTTCTGTCTGAAATTGAATTGAAATTTGCCTTATTTTACCGTGCGACGACTCGGGCCATCAGGCCCGCTCTTCCGACTGACCACGCAAATTTCGCTACGCTCCTTTCATCTAGCAGATGAAAGGAGGTATTTCTTGGGCGAAGAAACAGGGCATTTGAATTTAGCTCAGAGGCAATCATTTAGGCTTGAGGATCTTTTACATGCAAGCTAAATTCTACCAACATGGGACAGCCGGCTTACTTCCCTCCGAAGGGAAGGAAGGCGTACGAAGGATTTTGTCGCCCGAAAAATCCACGGCTTCGATCGGGTTTGAACCCGCGCTTGGGTGTAACAGTCCGGTACGCTAACCGTCACACCATCGCCGCCGATCTCTCTTCTGTTCCGGCGAAAAATGATGAAAAAATGATCAAGTAAAACAGGCTTTAGTAAGGATTGATTTCTAAGTTTACCATGGACTGCTTCCTAATACATTGATCGATTATAAATGATATATTTCTGTCTGCTTCAAGAATCATTTCGAAAGCCTTTTAGAGAATTGCCACCGTTGAAAACCACACTTTAAAGATTGTGGAAATAAAACTTGAAACCTCCTAAGAGCATTGTTTTACTACTCCGACTTAACATAGATGATCATGGCAAAATTTTCGGAATTGTATGTGTTCGAGCGTTTCTCTGGACTGGTGTGAGAAGATATATTTGCCCAACTTATGAATGGAAACAAAAATTATTACTCCTTCAGAAACACCGGATGAACAAAATAGAATGTAATTGGGCTATGCCTTTTTAGGGAACGAAAAGTGGGGATTTAGGGCATTAGCTGGGAAGCGGGAGTGGGGGAAACGGACCGCGCAATGCACTCGGGTGATTCATTATAACTCAAGTCGAAAGTTCATTACAATCATACGATCAATTGGATTTGCAATTGGATGAAACACTCCACGAAAGACACATAACTCCATGTTTCGTATTGTTTGAATTTTCCATGGAATAAGAAAACCTACAATAGTAATCTCTCTAATAAGGTAAATCAATAGACACTCTAGGTATGAATATTTTATCGCTAAAAATGTTTGTATTTTCGTCTGCGTACAGGCTACTCATAAAATTTTCACGCAACCGTATGGTAGCAATCGCAATTTTGTGTTTCCGCATTAGACACTAAACCTAGGAGGCAGGGTCATCTTTGGCAGTAGTTGTGCTGCGGTGAATAATAGGATGTTAATGTAACAAATTTCATCCGTCAAATATGATCTGAGAAGCGCTAACTCAGGGCCCTCATTAGAGACATACGTGATAGTTCCGTGGCAACACGTAATAACTCCCTCCCAGTTTTACAACCTTAACCATATATTTCAGTATGGTTGATCATTTTCATAGTAACTAAAGTAGCTATATAGCTTTAAATCGAATGGTAAACCATCTGAAAAATGTCCTATACCTTACTTATGATCTTACGAAGAGATGTAAAAATATGAAATAAAAAATTAATATATAAATAACGTTAGAAAAAGTTCAATTTTGCATGTAAAAAATGAAATTTCCAACTTAAAAGCCGGTATCCTTTTTCCTCGGGAGCACCCTAAACTCGGGGGCTGTGCCCCGGTTGCCCCCTGTGGAATTTTAGGCTTTGCTCAAACGCTTCCAAGAAACATTACACGAAAACTAAAATTTCGAATTGCATATAGAAGAGAAACCTGGTTTGTAATGAATAGTAAAAAATCATCCTTTTGGATTTTTAAAATAACGAAATAAGTTCCATTTAAAAAGAAAAGCGCGAGGGAAAGCTGATTGTGTAGACTATATCAGTAGTTTCAAATCGTTTTATATGTGTACACCTCACGTGAAATGAAAAAAAATTAGAAAGCGTTGTTTGCAGCTTAAATCATTGAACGCTGATAATTACAATTTACTACAAATATTTAATCATTCCCTAAAAGAAAATTGTCTCAGCAGAAGAGTAAGTAACGTGGTTTATTTACGAAGATGCGACAGTCAATTGAAAGCTTTATCCAATTACTTCCAGTAAATGATACCACTTGAGATAACGGGTAGAAACAAAGTGACTTGCTGTATAGATTAAGATTATCGTGGAAACTGCCTAATTATACTTACCAGATTGTTTTATTATTTCACAATTACAATTTTATTCTAGAAAGGTTTGTTTAGATACATTCAATTGAAACGACACGAGTTTTACAATTCATAACCAATTATTATTGCTATTTTGCTAGATAAAGCATTCCATACGGCGCCACTCTTGTGTCTCTTTTCGAAGTGTACAAGTCTAAAACGAAACAGGAATGCGCCATTGCAATTTAAAAACTGAATTTCCCATGCCCACAATTATATTGCACTCCTTTATCATAACAGTGGCAGTTTGCTTGACAACATGCTGCCGAACACTTTTTCACAAAAAAAACGCCTTCCGCGAGCTCACTTATCGCCCACGCTTTTTGAAGAAAAAAAAAAGTTTGATCTATTTTCCGAAGCACTTGCAACAGTTCTCCCAGCGAGCAGCTCGCGCGCAGTGCCAAGGGGCCAAAGGGCAAACGTCCGCGAGCGCCACCGCCACAAAGGCTGGCGTCCGCAGCCGTTGGTGTTGTTATCGAGCCGGGCCGCCGTGATTCACCCTGCCACTGCGCCACGCGGCACTCGTATACGACGCGCGTGCACTCCACCCCACCGGCGCCCCACCCCGCCGCGTCGCGCCGGCGGCGTGTGCTGGCCGCAAGGCGGCGAGGGGGGCCGGGCGGGAAGGGAAAATATCGAGCGCTAGCAGCAGAGGCGTGTGCGCGCGTGGTGTGGTTCGGGTTGGTGGTGGTGGTGCGTGGTGGTGGTGGTGTGGTGGTGGTGGTGGCGGTGTGGTGGTGGGTGGTTGGCGGTGGTGGCGGTGGTGCGCGGTGGTGGCGGTGTGCTGGCGTGGTGCGGTGGCGGTGGCGGTGCGTGGCAGTGGGTGGTGGCGGTGGCGGTGGTGGTGGTGGTGGCGTCATTGGGGCGTGGCGAGGCGACGCTCAACGCGGCGGCGCCGCTGCATGGATACGCAGGACACAAAGGGAAATGGATGTGGAGCGATAGCGGCTCTCAATTTCGGAGAACGAGACGCTTCCTTATTCCCTGAAATATTGCGGGAAGACGTGGCGCTTACTACGAAGCTGCGCGATGCAACCAAACTATGACGTAGTGACAGGATATGAATGAATTATTCATAACGCGGTCCCCAAGGCGCTCTTGGTGTTCGTAGAGGCAAGTTTAATATCGTCTAATTAAATGTAAGATTGATATTCGTACGACACCCAGACGCTTAGTTCGTACTTGCCATCTAATTCCTCATGTGACGCACAGGAGTTTTTCACCACCATGATCGGTTAGCTTCCACAAAAATGTCAATCCCATTCCTGTTTACGTAAATATGTCGCCTTCACGCCCCTAAAATTGAGTTGCGGCTCTGCCCTGTCTTATGAGAGAGCTGGGCTATCTCTAAGCTGCAATGTCGCAAACAGCGTAGAAGGCAATAAAAATAAATGGAAAAAGAAAAATATCTTTTGACTGCTCTGACTTGGCGAGAACATTTCAGCCTATTTACACGACTCATTACGTTATATTTTCAGACTTCAAAGAAAAAACGTTATCGAAGTATACTGTAGTATATTTTTTAAGAAAGTTCACTCCTCTTCACTAGGCAGAACGGTAAATTGGATATTTTTAAGAGGGCGTTATAAACCTTGGACGATTTCGAGTTTTAAATGAGTGTAGTAAAAAATAACATTCATAAAGTACAAGAATCGTAAATTTTCTGAAAAAGTGTCACATTTTGAAAACATGAGGCATTCTTGTCTGTAGTTAATTTTATCAAGTGGATGAGTTTTACAATAATTTCTTAGACAGACCAGGGTTAAAAAGGTCTTTTAGATATTCGTTTTACAAATTCCTGCATACTTTCTCATCACTGTTCATTTCTGGGCAATCTTTTTGTCTAAAAAACGTAGTCCGCAATCGAATATTAGACGGTACATCAAGAAACAGCTATTCATTTTAATTGTAATCTAGATGTATTTTAGTACGTCTTTGTCTCAAAGATTCATTAGTACTTAATGTTAGTTTTAATAATTATAATAGTGCCTGCGTAACATTTTCCCCTCTGTTATGTAGAAAGACGTTTTCTCTATAAACGTGCTAAGAGAAATCTTCAAGGCAAACAAAAGTGGGCGTGACTGTTTTCATTCTAGTGATCTGAATGGACATCAAATACTTCCTAGAAGGTCAGAATTCGTGCTTTCAAAGCCATGCACCATCCCTCCTGCAAATTTCGATTTAAAAAAATCAAATTACCTTACAATGTCTCCTCAAGTTTTTAACTGGTAGTATCAAACTACAAATTTTAACTAGTAGTATCAGACAACGGTGGAACATTTACGCACTGCCGAAATTTACCCCAAACCACCTAAATAACTAGCACCGCACTAGGCGTAAAAAGACTCAACTGAAAGCGTTGAACCTCCATTAAAGAAATGTCAATTTGCAACGTGTTAAGTGCAGCATCAATACAACAGGGCTCAAGTTAAGTTTTCATTATATAAAGAATGAAGAACATGTGTAAGTTACTATACCTTCAATATAATCAGTTAATACAAAAATTTATTTGCCAACCGATTGAATCCCGCAAGGCGGGAAGTAAACGAGATAGAAATTAGGCCTCTCTTAATATGTATTTAGTCTGCTGGGTATCTCAACACATTACATTTTATCATTTCTTGGAAACTTCATTTCATGCCAAGTGTGTAATAAGAGATATTAGTAACAAGTTCAAAAGGAGAAAAAAGGTTCTGACAGAGATTAATAGTGCCAAGCTCTCTATTACGCGCAACCAAGCAACTTTGATGCACTGCAAAATTCTTGCGTGTATGGTAAATTTGTCTAAGAAATGTGTCAATTAGTCCATTATTAAATGCGTCAATTATAAAATCGGAATTGATATTCTCAGCACATAACAAGAGTACTACAACATGGTTTGAGGAGGCCAAATAAACATTTCATCTGCAGTGTTAAGCGATATCGATGCAATATTTTCAAATGCACAAAATTATTTTTCTTAGAAATGGTCAATATCACACGCAATGCTACTAAAGAAATTGACTGAATTACTGTAGTTGAAATAGAATAATAATTTTGAAATAATTATACGAGGGTTTTGTTTAACCTAGAAGTTCAATTACGTGGCGTTTCTCAAAATCTGGATTTTCGTGTTTGCAGTAATTTACAACAAACAATTGCAAAGAGATGTTTAAATTAAAAGAGCGTTAGACTCACTAAATTTGTCTTTGAGGATAAGTTTACAATTTCAAATGAAAAGTGGTGTATTGAATGCCCAATGTCTTTGGTAATAATGCATGAAAAATTAACTGGTCAATGTAAAACTCTACACGAACATAATTGTATTGGGTCATCCCCAATTGACAAACACGGTTAAGGAAAGTCTAACACATTTTGAAGACTTGCAGATTTTCTTTCAGAGTAAAAATATATCTTGGAAATTAAGAAACCACTCACCGATTTTTACAAAATATATTTCCAGTACTGGATCCTGCAGATGGAAATTATCTATGAGAGATATGAGATTGGATGGTATTTCCCTTGGCCAACATTAACGAAAATACATCTAAGCCTAATTTACTTCCCAAGTCGACATAACCGATCGCATGTCGAAACCTAATCCTGTAATTTCCGCCCAATGGGCAATGTTGTTGGAAACGAAATGAATAATCTTCAGGACACTCGTCTATACCGCAACAAGTCAAAGCCACAGGTAAGTAATAAATCTATAATTATGGTGTTCATAAAATTGACAAATCAACTTAAAAATCCTCATTAAAACACAACCAACTAAACCAAATACTCATGCAGCCCTTATTTATTTTGTTTAAATCTTGATTAAATAGAAACAACAATAATGCTTTCTTTGCTATCATAGCGTGTAGAAACGAAAGTGTGCTGGCTTCTTGAAACCACATCGAAAACGAGAACGAAGAAGATGAATTTTCCGTCAACACAAATTAACCCATAAAAGGGTCGCATGAAATTATTTCTTGGCTTCTTGGACAACCCTCGGTCCCGTGTTTATTTCGTACTTCAAAAGAAATTGATAATATGTTTACAAGTTACAAAGAAGCAAAGCGGGAAAACTACATTATTTAATTTTAAGTAGATATCTCCGACTTTTGTCGAAATACTATTAGAAATTCGACTAAAATCATTCAATTCTACTTAAAATTAAATTATTTATTTCAAATAACAGTATTATTAAAAGTATACACCTATTTACGCATGCTGCCATTCATTACTTTCATATTTTTAAACAAAATTCAATGATTAATTCAAAACTCTGTTGATACGACTTATGATATTATAACACCAATTTTATATTTTATTGGAAATGAAACATTATGCTACAAAATACGTTCCTAGAATGTTTTAACACTATTGAAAGTTCTATTCACAGTAAACTAATTAGTTCCCAGTTTCAATTTTAATAGTCACTTCCATTTCAAAGAAAATTGGAAACGAAAAAAATAAATTACAAGATCATTACGCATTACAATACGCGTTAATCCATTTATTCCGCTTGATTGGCCCAAAGCTTTAGACTAATATAAGTTCTAATAAATATGTACCTACTGGAAAGTTTCATTCTATTTTACTCCAAATATATTAGGCAGTCAGTAACACATAAACGTGAGTAAAAGTTTATTAAGTTTAAAAAATCGTAATGTTAGCAATATTTGAAAAAAATTGGCTTACGTTTCGTTAAAAAAAGTTTAAAACTGAAATATTGTACCACGTGGGGTTTAACAGAGCTTTGTGGGCTTAGTGGCATTACAGCTACGTCTTTCGCATCAACGTTTTCGGGACCCTACCTTTTCCCTTCGAAAATAAAAGCACCTCATTCCCTTGTTATGAAAATAAAAATAGCTTATTTTACGTAACTAGTTTTGTGACGTTGTGACAGAGATAGCAAAACTGTTTTATAACTAATCAAAATTCCTATCATACATTTTCAAATTTTGTTAAAACTAATATTCAAAAGTTTGTGTCATTGTTTAAGCGCTTCTCACTTTAGACTAATGAAAGTATTAGATTAATAAATTTTTAAAGAAGTTCTTATGAAAAAAGGCAAAACGCGCGGGTACTTCGCGACCCGTTTCCGCCCAGCCTCTCTTCCGCAGACTCAGTTTAAATACACGTGGCGCATGCATTCTTCGGTTAACGAACACTAGCTTACTATTGGCCTGCAGCAGTAAAAATGACCAACAAACACACAGAAAATGGAATTTTAATACACAAAAGACATGTTCCCCTCCAGGCGACCGAGACGCGTCAAAAGAAGCTTGATTTGCTGCAAACGGTGGACCGGAAGGGCACTGATGTTGAATAAGGGATAGATGCAGGTCATTCAACTACAATTCAAGGATACATACAGATTTATTGTAATTAAATTCCAGGCAAAGAAGAAATTGAATAGAGGTCTAAGCAGATTAAGTCGACTCGGAACGGCGATAGGACAAAAATGATAGGAGGGGCAACTAATGCTACGTGGTCAGCATTTTTAAATCAATTTTCACTGAGAAAAAAAAATTAAAGAAAATAAAACTAGGTATTTGATAAATACATCTAATGTAATATGTTGGGCAAAAACAAGATGTACAAGTAATAGTGTATTATACGGTTATAACTTTGTTACTTTGACCAGCTTGTGCTTAAAACCGGCCCATCTTAAATTTCAAATGTCCTAGGGATAAACACTGATATCAGGATGAGATTTAACCCGGTCGCGTTGAAACTCCTTTGCTCCAAATTTTCACATTATGTCCTTTGTCCATGAAATTAAACAATACTAACGACTGACTGTGTTTGTGACCCTTTCAATCTTCATTTTCATGCATCTGAAAGTTTGAAAGGTAGAAAATTGTTGAGAATAAAAAAGTTTCCGAGAAGAGCAATTTCTACTTTTTACATTCTCAAAAACTGATGTAATACGACGAGGGCTTTGAAAATTGACGATAAACCCCTAACTTGCGAAGCCACGTGGGGATTTATCTGAGACTTTTCAAAGCACGAGTAAAATTAATCATAAGTTGGCTGCCCTGATAGCCAATCTTTCAGCCGCCATGTTGAGGCTTTTGTGAATTCCCTTTCTTGCATGCCTCTCCTCTCCAAATGCTGCTTGCTATATTGCCGGTGCTTTTCGCAAAATATAAAAGCAAAATCTATTCTGATTCGAATTTCTAAAAAAAACTGGCGTTTTCAACATAATGACGTGGAAAGGCAATTGCAAACCTCCATTTCAACACAACTGTTGTACCAACGTTGGAACGATAAATTGAACAGGACTTTAGTTAACACACACAAACACAACTTGTTCCACTAACGCGTCGCCCCGCATTCACAAATGCAAGTTGTAATTGGCCCCACAAGACACGAATCCCAATTCGAGCGTGCGCTGCTCGGCATAGTTGAGGACTAAAGAGCGCGAGCGCGAGAGAGCGAGAGAGGCCGAGCTTCCCGAGATGCCGCCAGCGAACACGAGTTCAGGCGCCGTGATCGATCCCACTCCTCGCCTCCACGCCCCCTCGAGAGTTCGCCGAGAAGAAAGATGCGGGCGCCGCCGCCGCCGCCGCAGCCGCGTGAGGACTCCTCGGAATTGCGCCGCTCCTACCCCCTCGGCTTCTCTGGCCGGGGCGCGGCGGCGGGGCGGCGGCGAGGGCGTACAGGTGTTTCCCAGCTGCGCAGCCAAGCTCGGACAAAGGCCGCACCCGCAGCCGCCCAGCTGTTTCCGCCGGGCGGCGGCGGCGGCGGCCGGCGCAGGGAAGTAAAGGATGGTGGGGGAGTCGGAGAGAGGGGGGAGGGGGCGCTGCGGGAGAGCGGGGAGCGAAGGCGGCAACGCCGCGTGGGGCGAAAGAGCCCTTCGTCGCCTGGGGCCTCCCATTCTGTGAGAGCGGCGCGGGCGACAGCGGACGCCCGCCCTTCCAGCCCTGCGAGCCTGCAGCTCGAGCAGTCTCCCTACCGCCCTGGCTTTCCAGGTCGACTCGACGGGTCCCTTCTACCTTAAAAGCGGTGACCAAACCCCGCGTAATTAATTAACCACTCTATCACGTTTCAAGTAACTTGCGAAATTGTCAACAAATAAATCAGTAACTCCCAGATGAACATTTAACCAGAATACAACGAATATAATTTATGTATAAATGTAATTTATCAGGAAAAATTATCCGAAGGAAATAGTGAATTTCTATCCAAGTCCGAAAAACACTAGTGCTTGACGTGTGAGCGTATGCTAAGGGGTAGGTAAAAGGGAGGAGGGGGTGAGTGTTAAGTGAGAAATGCCCAAGAGGCGAGAAATATGAGCGTGAGGGTATTGTGAACGCAGGGAGAACGAGTGTAATTGTGAGCGGCGGGGAAAAACGTAACTTTAATCTTTTTTTTTGCCGAATTTGAAAACACGCTCAAATCGCTCTAATATCGAGGTTGTGTTAAAAGTCCAAGTAAGTGGTTTTTATAGAAAGGAGAGAGAGAGAAAGAAAGAAATAAAATGATAGAAAACCCGGGGAAAACAGAAATATCGCATCTCCTCTCTTCATAATTAGTGTAAAATAAAGCTATACAATGGTGAAAAGTGCAATTAGCGTAATACTCATTGGTATCGGTAAAACGTTCAAGCATATTTTTTACTTTCAACCATACGACATATTCGTGTTAAAAAAACATCGCATAACTGACTGGGACAATGTTTACAATATATAAAGTTACTAACAAATCAACTTTATAATATTACTAACAAATTACCAGGAATGTATAGGACGATTGTTGCATTGTCGAAGATTCGTCATTTTAAATATAAGCAATACTGTAATTGGTATAACTGTTAACAAAAGTAGCAATAACATCCGAAGACTTCTTACGTGAAAATGCCATTTCAATCCTACGAAAATAGAGACAAACGATTCAAAGTAAAGACAGTTACCTGTGCATCAAATCTTAAAACTAAATTTACGAAAAGTGAAAATTATTTCGATTGTAAGTTGTACACCTATCAGTTTATCTTATTTTTAGCAGAAAAATGTACACATCTGAAAATCATAAGGAAATGCCTCGACGTTTGATATAGGACAATGCAATAAAAGTAGTTTGAAGAGCGAAGGATAATCAACCGATAAAGTGGAGGAAGGCAGTTAAGCTGCTGTTGGAGAAAATAGGAAGCGAGGAGAGCCCTGACTCAAATTTCAGGACAGAAAGAATTCTCGATAGAGAGTGACATTGAATGGGACGTATGAAAAGCGAGATGAAAAGGGAGCGAACAGGGTGACAAGCGAACAAAAGTCCACAGTAACGGTCTGGGACAGTAGAGCGACAAAGACAAGGGTTGACGGAATATTGAACAGTTCAACTAATATATTGCACGCTCACCACACCTTCACGTTTGGTATCATGTATTACGGATAGTTTTGCGGAGAAGGCCAGTGAATCAGGAAGAAAGTATAACAGAGAGGCCGCGGGAATAAGACGCTGGGCTCATTCGTTGACATTTGCCTAGATACGATGATCGAGGACAGCCGGAAGGCAATAATGCCTCAACAGAAAGCAAATCGCAACGACGAGGAAAGACCACTCCAAATGATGTTAAAGCTAAAGAAAGGTGGACCAACAGAGAAACTAGCGAGAGAAAAAAACCTACGAAGAGCGATCTCAAGAGGTGGTTCAGTAAGTCTTATGCTGAGCGCAGTGCTCCCGCAGCCGCTTACAGCGGAAATGCGGGTACACAAGAGAGGTGGAGTGCAAGGAAGGCTCCAGGCGCAGGGTCCCAGGACAAAGGTGTATAAGAGTGAATGGACGTGCAGGAGAAGGTACAGGACAGTGCGGGTGAAAAGAGCCAGATATAGGGGTAGGGAGAATCAAGCAAACTAACTCAAGGTTTCAAGAGCACAATGGGTAAGAGGGCCGTTCACGCGAGATGGCACAGATCCACACGCTATGGATGAGAGACGAAGAGGGAGGGAAGGAAAAGAATATGGATGAAATAGTCAGAGAGAGAGAGAGAGAGAGAGAGCGATATGAAACAATACAAACTAGAGAAATTCCAAGGAACACCCGTCATAAGTAAATTGGATTAGATTACGACCAACGTCTGCTTAACACCGCAAGGTGTAAACAATCACGGATTTCCATCACAAGACATCATCGATGTAAAGTAGGTGAAAGTATAGTCATGTTAGATTAAAAGAGAAGTGAAATTAAAGTTGAATCGGAAGAAAAAATACGAGGACAGTAGAAAGGGCGGGCCTAAGAATATGTGGGTGGAAAGAGAGATCACACTGGGAGAAAAGAGTAAGACGACTCTAGTGATATGGGTCTTAGGATAGAAAGTGGAATGTGAATTAGACGAAATAAATAAAATATTATGAAAGAAGATGAATGAAACACGGCAAACGGTCAAGAAAAACGGCTCAAAGATGTCAAGATCATGTGTAAACAGAAGGAAAACAAGGAAAGATAAAAAGGCATCAAAAGAGTAGGTGACAACGCGTTAATAGTTAAATAGATACATGGTGTTGACATTGAGAGGCTTAATGGGTTATTTTGTGGAGAGAGAGACAGAGAGAGAGAGAGAGAGAGAGAGAGAGAGAGAGAGAGAGAGAGGAGAGGAAGAGACGGGGTGAGATGTGAGAGAGATTGTAGAGGAGGAAGGAGAGGGAAGAGGAGAGGGGAAGGAAGGAGAGAAGGTGTAGAGGAGAGGGGAAGGAAGGAGAGAAGGGGTAGAGGAGAGGGGAGAGAGGGTAGACGAGCGGGAGAGCGTGGGGTGAGAGGGACAGGAGAGGGGGAGCGAAGTAGCCGGGGGAGAAGAGAGGGGGGAGAGATGTTTCACGCATTGAATGTAATGCAAGTCGAACAAAGACAAAGATACACTTACAAGTGCGATATTCACGATTACTGCGTTCCCAACTAGCTATTTTCAGAAAGATTTCTGAGAAGTGACACGCATGGAACTGATGATTCACCACGAAGGAGAAACAGGGCAGTACTCGGGCAGGGAGCAGGGCTGAGGCAGAGGGATGGAGAACAGAAAGGATGCTGGTGGAGGGAGGAGGCAGGGGCCGGGGGTACTCAGAGGGGTCGTCAGACAAAAAGGGTGGGGGAGACATTCACGGATATAACGGGAAGGGGATGACGGGCCAGGAAGAGCGAGGCGAAATTGCTGCAGATTTAAGTTCAGCACATCTTGCAAATTCACGTTCATCCAAAATTGGTATTAAGATCACACATGGAATGTCAGGTCAGATCATTTACCACGTATGAAACGCGTACATGAAAACAATGAAAGTAACTTATATGCCAGCTCCTTTCAGGAAACAGTAATTGACTCCTCCTTAAAAATGGACAGGAAAGAAACTCGCAGGCTTACTGTTTAGGAAAGCATGATACGTCGTATTTCGTATTCATAAATTTTCAATTCTTCGTACTTTTAGTTTGCTTGCGAGAAGGAACATTGACGTTTAACTTCCGACCAGGGCATGTTTTTGACTTAGAAAGTTTAATTCTGAACTAAGCTTTTTTTAATGCTAACAATTAACTGAATTCAAGTGCGATAAAAATTAAAATTGTCAATCGCTGTTGATACAACCTTTTTTAAACCACTAAATCAAACAAATTAGAAATTAAACAATGAATATTTTGCCAGAAAACTTTTGCAATTGTGTGAGAACGTTCAAATCTAGTTAGTTTCCTACGAATTGGAGTAGGGCAAATAATAAGTACGATCAACTGATATAAATAAAGAACGGTATGTTGAAGGCCAAATACAAAGAACTACAATTACGTTAACGACACATAGTAATTAAGAAACATCATGTGTACAATTAAATAATCCGAGTGAAGTTCTCACATTCTTACACAGAAACACATTATGCACAATGGCGGAGAAGAAAGAACGGTAGCAAACACAGAAGGGTGGGGTTGGAACAGTGCCAGTTGTTGGTAACAAACTACAACTCGTCAAACCTAACGCCAGACAATTAGTTTTGTGCATATGACTGAAAAGAGTAGTATGCTCTAGATGCAAAAATATTGAAATACCCCACCCAACTCTTTAAGGAAAGTATTTACTATTCTACAGCACGAAACTTTGGAAGCAGATAGCAGAGAATCGATACACTCCTTTCTGAAAAAGTGCACGCAAGATTAGGAGACTCATGACGTTTCTTTGCTAGATAAATGTTAATGTGACGTCACTATTCTGTGTAGCTAGATCAACTCGAAATACATTTACTGAAACCCCAGTTACAAATCATGCAGTATCACACATAACCGATGGACTGGGAGCCACACATACTGATAAGTACAGCATTGCGTCAATTCTCCTAGCAATTACTGGGGATTAATGCTACGCCAGCACCAACACATGCAAGATGGAAACGACCGGGCCCAACACAGCGTCGCCGACTCGCACACTGGCACGAACGGACGCAGCTGTTACACAGGACGCGGCGCGGCGCCCGTGACGGCGCGTGTGGGCAGAGCCCCAGCCAACCGCGCTCGCCTCGCCTCGTCCCACAGCCTGCTGCGAAGGGCGGGACACGAGGCGGCTAGCAAACGGACGCAGGGAACGCTTGCAAGTACCTGGTCTCCATGTCCGTGGCGTGCACAGGTCGGGGAGCAAAAGGCGCAGCGAGCAACTGAGCCGGGGCGAAGGCGGCTGCAGACGGCGCGGGCGTCCAACACCTGACGACATGCGGCCCTCCGAAGCAAAAGACGCACCCCGCAGGCCACCACCAGGTCGGCCCGGCGGCGGGCGAGGCGGCCGCGGCGGCTGCGGCGACGGTGGCGGCAGCGAGCGGGAGACGCACTAGGCCGCCGGCGACGAGCAAAGCGGCGGGGCCGCGGCGCCCGGGACGGCGGAAGCGTGCCGGTAAGGCGGCGGCGGCGGGAGGCGGCGGCGGAACACAACGACGGGCCGCGGCTGCGGCGGGGGCGACGGACGACGGTATCCAGTAGACAGCGCAAGAGCCCGATGGCATGACGCAGCGAACCCGCGAGCCCCACCGTCTGCGCTGGGCTCTTCGCTAGGGGACGGCTCGCCTCGGCGTTGCGTTGCGCTGCGCTGCGCTACCCCCACCACGCGCCGCCCCTCCCCCTCCGGCGGCCAATGGGCGCGTGGGCGGCCCCGCTGCGCGCGGCTGCGCGCGGGCCACGAGCGACGAGCCGCCCACCGGCAGGGGAGGCGAACGGTTGCCTAGCTGTCTGACTGACTGACTGCCTGCCTGCCTGCGCGCGCAGCAATGCGCTCGTCTTGTGGCGTTCGCAGAGATCACAACAGAGCTGCTTTTGGGGATGGCCCCCGCACGAAATACAGTCGGGGGCCGCTCGTGTGAGAGAGCGCTCTTTAAGATGTTTTCCTATTGCGACACAAAGCTTCTCAACGCGGCGAAGTCTTTGCTTAGGAAGCTGTGTTTACACATTCGCTTCACATTGGCTTACAGGCAGTATATTTGAAAATTTACGAAAATGTATGATTTGTGCTAAGAATGTATTTTCCTTACATTCTACAATAAATGTTTCATACATACATAGACATCCTTTATAATTATAATTAAAAAAATAATACAGTAATAAGAAGTTTTCTGCGATTGGGAAATAAAGCAACAACTCTGTTATACAATGGCACGCAAAGTGCCATAATCAATTTTAAAACTTATTTTTTTAATTCTCTAAAGGTACCATGAATCTCTCACACAACGAAAAACCTCAGACCATATGACAAATTATTTCAGTAAAAACTAGAGTTAGAGTTAATATTTATCAATCTATAGAGCATCGTAAAACCAACTAGTACACAGAAAATTAGACAGAGGGTCAGTGTCAACTATAAACGTTAACACTTGTGGGAAACTCTGGATCTCATAATGACAAACAAATAATGTCGAAAATATTCGATGATACAAGAACTTGCGTCGCAACAACAGGTGTACTTTAAACAAAATAGCCTTTTTGTAAGAGAACTAGTTTTCTATACATGTCCCGCCTTCAACGTGGTTATTGTGGCTGCCTTGAAACGAAAATTCGTAATTGTGATATTAATTGTTTATTTTGATTGATTATGGGGACCAGAAATAAGATTGATAATTGAAATGTATCGTGTAAACTTCATGAAAACGGTAAACATATTTCAATAATAAACGATAATATAACTAGTATTGATATCACAAACTGCTCGACCGTAGATAACAGACAATTAGAGGGGCCAGATTTAAATTGCTGAAATTATTATTGACTAATTCCATACCACACAAATTAACATAGTAAACATATTTTCTAAAACTGTACAATATTTCCCTTTGAATGTAAAAATTTGGACAATCCATCACCCAATATGGATGTGCCAATAATTTCTCTATACATTGGGGTTAATCACGTGGGATACGAGGGATATCTCCACGCGGACAAAAGGGCAGTCATAAATCATTAAAATGGCACATCTCTACCACTAACGTGACATTTACCGAAAATATTTCCCTTACAGCAGATTTCATTCTAACACCATCCATCCTATTGTTGTCAATTGATCACGCTGAGCTCTGTTTGCTTCTGATATGGTTATATCTTTCGCTCCGTAATTTAATATTACTACGCAAATATTATACGCGTCCAAGTTTGCACCTACTTTCTCACAAGAAATAAACACTGCATAAGTTTGTAGAAATGCCGCTTACCGCCCAGACGAATTCAACATGGTTCGGCGGAACACACAGACCGGAGCGTGTTACGTTTAGCTCAGAGCTAACACTGTCGATGTCTCAGCAGCGACTCCGACTGGGAGATCCTAACGTTAAGTCGGCTCCGCATATGCGCCATTCGGCGAATCTCGAGTAGTGTGGACGGGTTGTTTGCGAGTCGCAGAGCGCCGAACAATCGGTATTCGCCCTACCCACCGCGTAACGATCTCTAGGACACATCAAAAGGAGCGAACATTCGCCGAACATACCATCTATTCGGGATTGGGCGTGCAGTAGCTCGCTACTCGGCGAATGCCGAATGTGTGGAGCCGCCTTTAGAGTTCAATGGTGGCGGATTGTCGGCTCGAGCCAAATAGCTAGGTGAATTCAAGAGCTGACTGTAGGAGAATTTTAACGGCCGGTTGCTCTGATCAAGAGGTTTACTTGTTTTCACCGATCAAAACCATCCGAATGCCAGAGCGAAACCTTAACAAATGGATCACGGACCGCGCGCGATCTTTCCTTCCCCTTCCTTGAACTAGTCTCTCTTCTTATACACAATTACAGACACTACTGTACCGCACAATTCGGGAGCTTGAACCGGCTGCAACGTTGCCCCACTGGATGGAGGTACGTGGAGGAGGAAATTCCCAACAAGCCGACGTGTTGGCCGGAGCAGGATCTCACCATCGACCGAGGGAGGAACACAATGAACTACTGCGATGAATCATTCAATACACCAATGGGACTAAAAACATTTGTCGTTCATGTCTCTTTAATCCTTAATCATCAGTTTATTTGCAAATCAATGCTCCATAGACGATTAATCGGTGAGTTTTCTGTAAATATATCTGGTTCTCGCGCTCATTGTCATTGGTTTTAGAATGATACACTACGCCTAGAAAATAAATATTTCTAATTAACACCCCAACTTGAACAATCTCACGTAAACAAGACTCAAATCCACACATAAACAAGCCAGAGACGAACGTTCAGCCTAATATATACACAATGTTACAAGCTGATCGCTCAATTCCACGAATTTACATTAATATTAAATTATCTTTTGCTAACATATTCCTATACGCCAATATGTTTTTCTGAAAATATGACTTGCGTACCCGTGCGAGCACTCTCCAGTTCCCCTCTCCTATTCCCTTAAATCCGTATTAAGGTAATCATACCCCAACCATGCCATTTTTTAAAACATTGTGTTATCTTTTTCAATTTGAATTTTGAATCCACATTACTACAGCCAACACGAAAACATTCAAAAAAACATATTGCATTTTTTTTGAGATAACTGAATTTTATTTAGAAAAAATTCCCAAAGCTACAACATCGTTACGTTAGAACTACTAGCTAGTTTCATTCAATTATTTTTCATGAATACAATACTTTTGGTTTATGCAATAATCTTACACCAGATTATAACAAAGATTCAGCGTGCTCTTACACAGAACCAAAGATATTACTTTTCAGCTTACGATGACAATAAAAATTCCCACTTTCGCGAAAATTATACGAAGTTTATCATACGCAATATTGGCGCGGGAGACATGTAATTTTTCTAGGTCTATTTCATTCTTTATTTTTTACTTACTTTAAAGCAGTTGCACTTATTTTTTGATCAAATATACCTCAAAGGAAAATGTCAGCAATGTGAGTGTCATAGAAACCTTTGCAGGTGATCCTCTGGAAAGTAAAAAATGTAATAGAAAATTCGAAAAATGTATTTTGTAAATTACAGCACGAGAATCAAAACTCGATACCCATGTCTCGAATATCAGGTTATAAGTTTCTACGGCGCAACGCTTAATTTTCGTGTTTCACACAATCGCTCACCAGCCGTCCACAACAACCATCACAAACAACCAACATACAACTTTATGTACTACAACCCCTTTACGGGGCATTTGTAGCATTTGCACGGGCAGACCTTGGATGCGTTTTTGTCAACTAATATTAATGTTTATAAAGTAAATGTGTAATTCGTCACTTCTCAATTAAATACTCTTTTTAGCACTCGTTCATGGAAACTATTACTTCCCTCTGTGCTCATTGTTTACTGATTGCATAGGTAGTTTGCGTTATACATACGCCAAAGTTAATTTTTGCGGATTGCATACTGAATAGTAAATAACACAGAAAAGACAGAAAAGACAACATTAGGAGGACTTGAATCAACATCGACTGTTGTCTCGCATTTTGCGAATGATTCCACGAATCCGAAGATTCCAATACCTGCACTCGTACTGAAAATTAGTCTCTGCCCGTATCGTCTCCTCGTCCGTCACCATTCCATTCGTCAAAGACTCCGTTTCTGCATTTACTACGCAAATATGGAAGTCCAGAGGATTTGAAAACTCTTTTGTTAAAGATTGGTCAGAAGCAATAGTCGTAAAATGTATCTATGGAACAGATATAATATAAGTGAACTAACGTTTACATGAAACACTCGTTTATTGATTATTTCGTGTTTTCGGGTCCATCTATTGCTATCCTATAATTACTACTGTCATTTGTTTCGTAACTGAAGTGCATTTTATACCTTGGGTGTTGGTGGTGGCCTTCGCAGCCTGTAAGGTGAGGTCCGGTGCCGACATAGACATCGGTTTGCGGGGAATTTCACAAGGTAACTCCAGCGGGCCACTGGCCCAGCCGGGACAAGCTCTGAACTCTCCACTAGTCTCCTAGCATGCGTGGTAGTAACTATCAAGCTAGTGACCACCATCCCCGGAACACTATCCTTAGAACTTCCAGAACCACTGCATTGCCCTGTGTTACCTCAGCCACTTTTACGTGGAAGGAGATGAAGACATTCCAATTAGAACTCGTTTACATGTCGTTAGAACGGAGAGGTTAGGCTGCGCCAGAACTGCAATTTCAGGGCTCCAGGCGCAATTGCAGGCAGCGGATGTTCCCCGTTGAAACCTGCCAGTGTTCTTTCGCTCAGCAAAGAGCCAAGGACCAAGAGCCAGATTGATTGGTTGATTGATTATTTTAGTGATTCCAGGCACGAGAACTACAAGGATCATTAGTTCCGTAAGTGTAGTGCACGTTTTGCTCGGTAGGTAGGTAGGTAGGTGGGCGGGGGTCTTCCCCCACGTATGGCGAGATCTGGCGGCCGACCCACCGTCGGCTAGCGGGAGTTTCCCCGTGTTGCAGTGTAGTGCGTGTTAGAGTAAGTGTGTGTGTGTGTGTGAGGCGAGCGGGTAGGACAAGGAAGAGGCAGGGAAGACCGCCCGCGGTCCGTGGACCGTTTGATATTTTTTTTATTTTTTATTATTAACTTCTGCTTTATTCACAATTAGTTATACATAACTTTCGGTGAATGTTAGAACATACACCATGTCACTATTCCAACAAACAGTATTATAACCTTGAGTCACGACAAGTGACAGTTAGCCCCCCAA